GGCCGATTGTTTGAGAGCGACAGTAGAGAAGCCTGAATGTGGTGTCCGCTTGGGGGGGAATGTTAGTTATGTCCATAACTAACCAATCAAATCGTTGCTTAAGCTCCCACCACGTTAACATGGTCTGATGTGTCTGTAAACTATCCCTGTTGCATGTGACCTACCAATTGAAAGACATTATTATCCTATTATATTAGTGTGACTCATAAATTTATTCATTTTATTAAGACATGCAATACTGGTCGGTATGTTTGTGCGTTTCACTTAATGACTGTAATTCTTTTATTATTGTACTAATCTAATTGTTTTTATGTTCAGAAACAGATAAAGTTTGAGGCCAAGTTGTCCTTGTTCTGACTATAGCTTTCACATAGACTCTGGGATCGCCAGTATCGCGTTTACAGTTTAATAGTATATCTGTAGGACAAAATAAATCCTACAATGAATGTTTCTAATGATCAGTTATCTTTATCTAGAAGTGGTATAACGTTATATAACAGTCCAGAGTTGAATGAAACCCAGAGTCATTGGGAGACGAAAATTCCTAACCAACCAACTGATCAGATTTCTCATGTTATTGTACCAAATATGGTTTGTCATAATGATTCACATACTTCTGATGGAATTTCCTACAACTCTGAGAATAAAATGTTGAATGAGTCGAATCATGATCAAAAACCGGATTCACTTTTAGTAGATGCTGATTTTTCTAATGATCCATTATTCTCTAATAAAACTCTTAATCAATTTGAGGAAAATATTTCAGAAGAATCGAATTCTGATATCATATCAAGTGTCAGTGGTCCTCACAACCAATTTATCTCTAATGATATTCCTAATGAATGTGAAAAATATGTTCCGAATGAGTTGAATTCTAGTCATATTTCTGATGTTATTGTGTCAGATGTTGGGTGCTCTTACGAACAATGCATGTTGAATAGAATCCCTAGTCAGGGGTATGATGAATCAAAGGGGATAGCAAAATTTACCGAAATAATCAGCGAACCAGTTTGCACAGGTAGAGAATCCAAATCAAGTCCAAGTTTATCCTAATGAATATGAGGCAGATGAATGTTTTCTACTCGATTGTTTCGCAGGTAAATCAAGCCTAGTTGAATCACATGTGTTAATTACATATATCAATGCATATCCATCTGTGTATTCTAATATGAATAACAAAAAGAATATGTATCATGATTTTTATTCAAGTCAAAGTCACATGATGGAATACCTCGAATTATATATCAGTGTTTATTCCCAAAAACTCATATACAGTAGTCGATGCGTGAGATTTGAGAAAATACTGCAAATTGGAAATGTCATATTGGCTAAAACATTGCGACATAAGGACCCAACATTATTTCGTGGGGGAGGATATTGTTGGAATGTATATGATGCAAATTCTAAATATCAATGGTTTCACTACACAACCGACATGCTGATTGTATACAATTCTAGAACCCAGGTGAGTCTGTTCCAATTTCCGTTGTTAATTCTAATACTAATGAGTGCATTCTAGATAATTATGATAATTAGAAGTATTTGAATTGTAGTATGAACTAGTAATCCCAGGAATAACGCAATTTAATCAAGAAGTATCAGATGAGCCCGAACGAATGTATTGTATTTGGAATTCAAAATTACAACAGTCATCCATACTAAGAAGTCATTGATTTATTTAAACATCACATCCGCCACAGCTCGAATTGAAGTGTAAGTGTCTGTAATCGATTGTTTGTCTTCTTCTTAAGTTCATCCTACATCTGTCCGATGGTGTATTGAATGTACACTCTGTATTATCTAGAATGCACTCATTAGTATTAGAATTAACAACGGAAATTGGAACAGACTCACCTGGGTTCTAGAATTGTATACAATCAGCATGTCGGTTGTGTAGTGAAACCATTGATATTTAGAATTTGCATCATATACATTCCAACAATATCCTCCCCCACGAAATAATGTTGGGTCCTTGATTCGCAATGTTTTAGCCAATATGACGTTCCCAATTTGCATTATCACAAATCTTACGCACCGACTACTGTATGTGAGTATTTGGGAATAAACACTGATATATAATTCGAGGTATTCCATCATGTGACTTTGACTTGAATAAAAATCATGATACATATTCTTTTTGTTATTCATATTAGAATACACAGATGGATATACATTGATATATGTAATTAACACATGTGATTCAATTAGGCTTGATTTACCTGCGAAACAATCGGATAGAAAACATTCATCTGCCTCATATTCATTAGGATAATCTTGGACTTGATTTGGATTCTCTGTCTGTGCAAACTTCACTTCTGGGCAAACTGGTTCTCTGGTTGCTTCGGAAAATTTTGCTATCCCCTCTGTATCATTATACCCCTGACTAGGGATTCTATTCAACATGCATTGTTCGTGAGAGTATCCAACATATGACACAATAACATCAGAAATATGACTAGAATTCAACTCATAAGAAACATATTTTTCACATTCATTAGGAATATCATTAGAGATAAATTCATTATGAGGACCACTGACACTTGATATGATATCAGAATTCGATTCTTCTGAAATATTTTCCTCAAATTGATTAAGAGTTTCATTAGGTAATGGATCATCAGGGAATTCAACATCTACCACGACTGAATTTAGTTTTTGATCATGATTCGACTCATTTAACATTCTATTCTCAGAGTTGTAAGAAATTACATCAGAAGTATGTGAATTATTACGACAAACCATATCTGGCACAATAACATGAGAAATCTGATAATTTGATTGGTTGAGAATTTTCGTCTCCCAATGACTCTGGGTTTCATTCAACTCTGGACTGTTATATAACGTTATACCACTTCTAGATAAAGATAACTGATCATTAGAAGCATCCATCTTAGCATTACTTTCAGCGAAATGAACCATGGTATTACAAACTGACTGAATATGTCCAGTTATACCACATTTAAAGCATTTAGAATTACGAAATATACATGAATTACATGGGTGAAACTTGCCGCAGAACATGCATTTACTAAACTTGTGCTCATCATCATGGACTGTTTCACAACTCAATGAAGTATTATCTGAATAAATTTGATTACGCATCGAACTACGACGACTGTTTGAATAAGTGGAATTCCTGATGTTCTGACGAGTCATTTTATCGGATTTTCCTTTCTTACCGCATTCGGAATTTGTATACTTTACATGATCCAACAGAAGTTGCTTGAGAGTTGCATAGGGGAGTGAAATCGGTTTGTCTGGAAGTGCCAAAATCTTTATAAGGCTGTATGCTTCTTTCCCGATGAATGTAAGGAAATGGGCCACAATATTAAAATCCTCATCATCTTCCTTGGTCATAGCCCAGATTTCGAACCTTTCCATGTACTCCTCAAAAGCATTAAAATCTGAATTTATATTTAACCGTTCCATCACAGGCTCAGTCGCGACGCCAATATGATTATTAGAAGTATTTGAATTGTAGTATGAACTAGTAATCCCAGGAATAACGCAATTTAATCAAGAAGTATCAGATGAGCCCGAACGAATGTATTGTATTTGGAATTCAAAATTACAACAGTCATCCATACTAAGAAGTCATTGATTTATTTAAACATCACAATAATACAGAGTGTACATTCAATACACCATCGGACAGATACACCTACACTTCAATTCGAGCTGTGGCGGATGTGATGTTTAAATAAATCAATGACTTCTTAGTATTGATGACTGTTGTAATTTTGAATTCCAAATACATTACATTCAGTTGTGCTCCTCTTGTACTTCTTGATTAAATTGCGTTATTCCTGGGATTACTAGTTTATACTACAATTCAAATACTTCTGATCACCATAATATTATCTGTGTTGTAGGAGCAATGTACTCAGGTTACTAAATTTCGGTTAATCTAGAGAAGAAGTTATTACGTGATTAAATTTTTACGCAGGTAAAGCAGTAACACTTCTGTTTAACGCTAGTAAATTAAGACGGATTGTGGAATATCAAAAGTAACCTCAATTATATAATTTACAATTTAATCCAGGTATTATATAAAATGTCTGCCGGATTTTCACAATCGAGTCAACAGCTTTTGGAGAGTGTAGACAACCTTGCCTTACACTAGTCTTTATTTGAGATGCATTTGTGATTTGTTCTTCAGTCACGACATAGTGATTCAGTCCCAGAAAAGGTTTTCCGTACTGTATTAATTTCCGTTGAGTTCGTTGTCACCGGTTTTTTCAGGAACTACTCAAAGTTATTCACGATCCTATTCTACTGTTCATTAACCTGAGATATTTGTTTTCTTACTTTGATCCCGGTTAGTAGCTCTGGGATATCATATACTCTTTCGAGATTTCGGTTGAATCATATTGTTCTTTCATACTTCCTTCTCTTATAGCTTTCTCTGCTGTGGTGGCCAGATTTCACATTTCTTTTCTCTAGCCGTTTCTGTTGCTTATAGTCACGTGTTTGTAAGCTTCAATATATTCACCCTCCTTCTTGGCTTCCTCTACTCTTGTTCGTCCTTTCATGAATCTTACTCAAGTCTTCTACAAAGACCTATCGTTGGTAATGCAACAACTGACTGAGAAAAAACAACGTTTGTGTAGCAAGGCACGTGTATATTGTGAGTCGCAACCAGTATAACATACCCATTTTCAAGAAACAACAATGCCTAAAATGATCTTGCTATACCGATGTTGTCATCAGCTACACAATCAGCTAACGAAAATTTTGATGTCCATATCTTCAAATAACTCACTTAAGAGAATACTATAGAATCCTCGAAATTTACTAAGAAAGGGCTTAAAAGAAGGCGTTCGCCTACTGCGCCTAATACACTAACTCGAATCTAGCACAGTGCTTGAAAAATACATACCAATCAAGAGGCATGGTAGTTAAAAAAACTCAAGACAACATTTTCACTTGTTCAATTGCATAGTTCTATGCATATTCTACTCATATCGTTTAGGTCATTTTCCCACTGTTTTGCTTCTTACAAATTGAAGGTTGTGGGTGAGGCGTAACTTTCAGTTGTTGTCGCTTCAGTGCTCTGACCATTTGGAAGTCCTTGTGTAGTACTTGTACAGACCTGATTATCGCCAAATTGAGTTTGGAATGTAAGTTATACTGTATTATCCTATAAAACTTTGATACATGTTGCTCTTGTTACCTCCTCTCTCACATACTTCAGTGTTTGAAAATATAGCATCCTAAGCCTGAATATCTAACCTCCTCACCTCATGAATTGTAATAAAATATGTGTGTCTTGTGTTCCTGGACATGTATTCAGTGTTCTTTCGTTGACACGTTAGGTTCCTCCCACATTTCAACATTTTGTGAATACTTCACCATGTTTTCACCCAAGTTTGAGTGGAAACGAATTGATCGGCGAGACTAAACTATAATGCCGAACCAATTAGAGGCTTTCGCAGGTTTTCAAGGTCACTCGCTAATCTATAAGTCTCTGTCGAAAGCTGAGAAAGTAAAATCTCTACATTATTCAAAGGAGTTTATAACTGAATACAGGAAAACAGTTCATTTTCATTTATTTGTTTCTTAAGGGTGTTATTACTTTCACAAGTTGGTTCTCGAAACTATCAAGCCCAGTATTTCCAGAGGTTTTGGGTGCACACTCAGACACTCCATCGATCGGAGCTAATTACCACTTAGGTTTTAGTTTGAAATTCGAAATATCATCCATTGAGAATTATGTGGAATCGTACTTTTGCCTGTAGAGGCGTGTGACAGCGTTCGACTACATCACTCCCTATCCTTAGTTCAGGCGTTGACGCGGGTCAGTCCTGGAGTAACAATTTACATTTGGATGGGTAGAAACGCATCCCAAACATCCTGGCATTATTACTTAGTTCTAACAGAAGACTCTGCATTTTGTCAGCGTCTTCACAAAACAGGACTATGTCATCTGCGTATTCTAAGTCGCTTAGTGGTCCCCCTGGTAGGAGATCAATTCCTGTAAATTCAGTCGACGAGTGTTATTTCCAGCAACAGGTCTATAATCAAGTTAAACAAAAGTGGGGATAGTGGACAGCCTTGACGGACACCACTTGAGGTTGTAAAATCATATGACAGTTCGCCATAAGCTCTCACTCGACTGGTAGTGTTCGAGTAAAGAGCCTTCACAAGGTTTATGTACTTCTCAGGTACACCTTTTAATGACAGACACTGCCACAGAACCTCTCGGTCCACATAGTCAAATGTTGCTTTTAAGTCAAGAAAAACTATCATTGTCGGACGCCAATAAGCGTGTCTGTGCTCTAAAACTTGACGAATGGTGAATATGTGGTCGATACAGCCACGACCAGGTCTGAAGCCAGCCTGATTTTCTCGTGTTTGCAGTTCACGAGTCTTAGTTAGGCGCCCGATAATTATTGAGGCTAGTATTTTAGATGCTATGTTGGTCAGACTAATCCCTCTATGGTTATCGCAGGATGATTTTGGCCCATTCTTATATATTGGGACAATCGGTGATTGTGACCAGTCAGATGGGATTACGTCCGTCTCCCAGATTTTAGCCAGAATATTAGTCAACCTAATCGCTAAAATTGGACCACCATATTTAAGGATCTCTGAAGCCAATCCATCTGGACCAGCTGCTCTTCCTCGTTTCAGATTACTTATAACCTTTTGGACTTCAGTAGGGTCGGGGGGCCTACTTCAATGTTCCATTCAGGTTGTCTGGGAATAGTGGGTAGTTGTGCAGTAGTTGTAGGCCAGCTAAACTGCTCCTTAAATTGTTCCACCCATCGTTCTAAACGTTTGGGTTGAGAGCAGATAAGGGTTCCGTCTTTTTCCGAGATCGTTTTACTTACACTTGACTTCTTAATTCCGGTTTCTTTTATTAGTCTGAATAGTTGCCTAGTGTTCCCTACAGCCGCTGCCTTTTCCATCTCTTTTGCTTTCGTTGCCCACCACTGCTCACGATCGTTCCTTAGACTTTTAGTTAACCTAGATCTAATCTGTTTACGCTCTTCGTCGTGTTCAGAGCCTGATGGGATGAGTTTACGCGAATCCGTCAGTGAATTAGACTTAGAAGAAATCCACGGGATTTTTGGAACCCTATGGTTTAAATGACTAATAGATGTAACTGCTGTTTCCACAGCTGTTCGTATGTCTTTCCAAGCAGCATATGGGTGAGTCTCGTTTACAGAAATAGTTAATTTAGTGATGTTAATATATAAAAGAAAGGTTGTATATAAGGATATAGTATAGGAAGGAAAAACGTTATGAAGCAATTTTAATCTCAAGGTTTAAGGGAAGATAAAGTGTATACACCTACGCCATTGTGATAGATTCTGAGCTATGTCACCCAGAGTCTCCAACCATTGGTTACGATACTCACACGGACCCCAACCTCTACGATTTTAGGGATAGTGGACAGCCTTGTCGGTGACCACTTGAGGTTGTAAAATCATATGACAGTTCGCCATAAGCTCTCACTCGACTGGTAGTATTTGAGTAAAGAGCCTTCACAAGTTTTACGTACTTCTGAGGTACACCTTTCAATGACCACTTCACTTAACCTGAGTCCCATCAGTACTGTTGGTCTGATGTCTGATGAAATCTGGAGACAGATTCAGAGAGCTTGATTGGGTTTTGGCAACTTGCGTCACTTTTAGCGTAGGGGAAATATCTGTCTGCCTATCAAAGGACGAGTTTCCTGTGTAGCAGTTCATTCCGTTCAACTTCATGGGTGTGAAACACGACCGTTAAGAATAGAGGATATTTGTAGGTTACTAGTATCCGGTCATAGATGTCTCCGAAGCATCGCTTGTGTATTTCGGGACCACATAGTAAGTAATACCTGAGTTAGAAATAGGGTAATAGGTAAAGATGAGAAGTCAATTGATGTGGTAGTAAATGTTCACCAACTGAGGTGGTTAGGACATGTGTTACGTATGCCCAACTACTGTCTACCTGGACGGACTATGTCTTCTGGTGTAAGAGTAGGCCGGGAGAAAGCTAGGGGCGGTCAGACCAAAAACATGGCATCAATCCATCAATTCGCTGACAATCGGACAGAGCTATGTCAATAGATGTAGACTATCTGTTTAGGGTCCACGTGAATAACTTAACCAATGGTTAGAGTCTTCAAATGACATGTCCCAAAGTCGTTTGGAATGGCGCAGGTGTATCCATCCTTTGCCCCCCCCGAATTCCGTGATTCTAAATTCCTTATAGCTTTTTTTTCTTTGTCTCACGAACTTATATTATCGCGAATTGTATCTTCGAGGCTTAGCCTTCCCCATTACCCGTGATACTGTTACTACCTCTACGATTTTGGGATTTGAGTTGACAATTTCATCTCTCTGTGCTAATGGGTTATGACAACTTCAACCGATTTACATGTCTTTTAGTTGTATTTTATAGTGAACTCTTTATTTACGATGAGTAAACCTTAAAAGTGAGAACTTTTACCTTAAACATGTTAGTTACAGTTGCAGCTTGTGTTGGTTATTTACAAGTCACTGTTACAAAAGCCCTTATTTAATACGAATATATTTTGTCTTGTTTACCAGCTGGGTTAGTATCCTACTTATGTTTATTAAGCCAAGATGATATACACTTGAACTTCAAAGGATTACCAATTTTGTGTGACATTATTCAAAGTGACTGACATCTTGAGTTTCTTTGTCATTTGGATTTACTGGTAGTAGTAGTTTTGTCCACAGTTTATGTGGCACTTAGTAGTTAAAACAGGTTCATAGTGAAATTAGAATGATGTGGTCAGTTTTGAAAAATATTTTTCAAGTTACACTGCTTTTCAACTGTATATGTTTATGTTACACATTTTTTATTCGATTAAAGGTGAACATTACTAGACGTGGTTATTGGTTAATCAGTTCCATCTTTCAGTCTAATCCCCATTATGACTATCATTAGTTCTTTTTAAGTTTACTGTTTGATGTTTTAGAAACTTGATCTCACGTCGGAAATATATATCATTAAAACAAAGTACTAGAAAGCAAAAGTTTGGTCCCTATCCCTTCGAAATAAATTATTTATTTGATTACCCAACCATAACATCTAGATTGTATTACTGAAAGGCTATGTTTCCCAATTTTCTTCCATCTTTGTAGAATTCTCCTGATAAAACTGCAATACAGCTACAACAAGTCAAACTAATTCGGAGACTGCATACTCATAGCCAATCTATTTGTTTGAACGATGCCTCCAAAAAGAAATGTAAGAAATAAGGATAGTGAAGACGAAAGTGTTAGAACTAATACTAACAACAACGAGGGAAAAAACGCAAAGTCAGGAAATAAAAAAAATAGGGATGACGAAGATGAAAGTGTTAGAGCTGATACTAACAACAATGGGAAAAAAAACACAAAGTCAGGGAATAAAAAAAACAAGGGGAAAGCTGTTAGTCTTATTCCTTCGGATTCTGAAGAGGATAAAGTAATTACAGACGACTCTAATGCGAAAAGAAAAGAGAAAAAAAAGAAAGGGAAAGAACTGTCAACCAATGATTTAGTTGAAAAACAAAATGACACAAAAATAACAAAGGAAAGTCATAAGTCCAGTAACGAATCTCTCAAATCAGATGAAGTTGATGACGAATTTTACAAAAAGAAAAGAAAGGCAGGACGTAATACTGTTAAACGTGCAGATTCTGAAGACGAAAGGGATGCAAATAAGGCATCAAATAAAAAACAGGGGAAAAAGAAAGGTAAATTAAATGCGATTGATGCAGAACAAAGGGGTCAGAAAGCTGATATCCAACAAAAAACAGAAGTTTGTGATTCCAAAATGGATTCCAATCGTGAAACTCAACAAAAGAATTATGAACTTGATGAGGAATCTACAAAACCTGAAGAAATTGATGACGATTTTTATACAAAGAAAAGAAAAGCCGGTCGTGGAAAACAAAAGCAAGGACCAGAACATGGAGAACTACCTAATCAAAATGCAACTGGTAAGAAAAAGAAACAGAAACCCGGAAAAAAGAAACATGACGATGGATTCGATAGTGAACAAGAAGACCTTGATGGTTTGGCCAAAGCCATGACAGTTGTTTCTTTAGATAGTGAAATAGATGATCTCGATCTTCAAAGTACTAAGTTTGATGGGTTTTCAGCAATATGTCTTGATCATCATACTACAGTAAATAATCAGGACACAGCCGATGATGTCCAAATAATGTCTGATGACCCCTTAGACAGTAAACCCCAGATTGACGTCGCAAAATCAAAGCCACCTATTGATAATGATATTAATTCACTGACAGACAAGTGTTCGACTACTGATATAAAATTGGAGGATGATACCTGCTCTAAACCAACTTTAATTGAAGAAAACGTCACAGAAAGTGATGCTAATGCCGTGAAACCAAAAGTATCAAAGAAGGAGCTTAAAAAGCTTAAAAAGAAAGAGGAGTTTGAAAAACTTGTTGAAAATGCAAAAGCTAAAATTATCGCATCTTCTGGAACACTCGATAACTTTGCACTTTCGCAAGTAAGTGAAATTCAAAATATAACTTTTCTTACTTGTACTACTCATCTGTTTGATCAATTGATTTCCACGTGTAATTTGTGTTAATTATAAAGTTTTTCGAATAATTTATGATGAAGATCAAATATTTAAATTCATTATAAAGATCAAGTTGATTTCAGAACTGTGTGTTATCCTACATTTTTGTTATATATTACCTTTTAATTTATGAAAGAAATGAAAGATTCCCAGGCCGGTGACTACTATCATCAGAAATAGTATACTTTAAAACCTGAGTACATAGCTCTGGACTTAGTTAATAGATTACATTAATTATTATTCATTGTTGGCATCTTCGAAGCGTCATAGCTACTTAGTGTGACGGATGAGTAGTCATAGTAATACTAAATGCTAGGCGAATATAACGAATCACTTAGTAGTGATTCGGTAAATTCACACCAACTTAGGCGACTAAATTATGTTTTAAGAGTGCTGGATTACTAATCCGTAAGATCACCGATTGTTGGATATTTCATTATGACGAAAATAGACTACAAATACATTTTTTCTCTTGTCATAAGAAGTAATCATGTAATTTCACCCCACGATTTCTAGTCGCTATCCCTCTTCATTTGATGTTTCATTCTTTTAGTTACTTACTAAGGTTATGATAATCAATCCTGATACACTTCTGTTCTTTTCTCACCAATATATGTAGTCTAGAAACCTAAACTAATATTTTGTTGTGCCTAATCCATTTTAATGATCTATTTCAACGTTTCAGATTGTTAACCTATCAGTATGTAACACATCTCAATATCGATTTGCAGACCTTATCTCAATCTATTTTCGTTCTAATTTACTAATAATAGGCTTCTGGTAATGCAAAATCTGAACAGCAAGACAATCAGCTTGATATACGGGTTGAAAATTTCTCGATTGCTGCTAAAGGAAAGGATCTATTTGTAAATGCATCCCTTCAAATTACTCATGGCCGTCGTTATGGGTTAGTGGGACCTAATGGGTAAGTAAATATATTCTTATGTTATTTTCTTGTTAAGAAAAGATTTCTTGCTGATTTTATCAATTTATACCAAACAAACTACTCAGTAGGGCTGAAAAAAGTTTACTTTTCTTCACTGTGTTCTATTTTCATATCTACCACTGCTTCGAGTTTAAGTGGCGTTTACGGTACTGCTGCATAACTAGGTAATAGTTCTTCTGTAATTTAAACTTAGTGCTTCATGTAACAGTGTCTCGGTATTGTTGGTACTTGGCTTTTAATTGCTGACTCAAATTCAATCTTTGTTTCCCTTTAGGACAACTGGGTTATATTTACTGCTTCTATGCAACAAAAACTTATCAAGACCGAAAGTATCCAAGTATTCGTGGCATAAAATAAGTGTATTCAAAAACAACGATCCTCGTTTGGCAAAAGCATAGACGATCCTATGCTATATACGTTTTATTTTTCGTGGTATATCTAAGAAAACCTACCATCACGTTCGTTAAAATTTACAGTTGCTTATGGTTCATGTTAATGTATATGACAAAAGTTACGGTTTAGTTTATATATATTAGTTGCTTGTATCTTCCCATTGATGTTTAAGACTGCAATCGACCGGTCTCTTTCGGCATATGTGCATTTTGTGTAGATTACCTCGATACTGTCATCAAGTCACGAGTATTATAGGCAGAGATGGATGGTTGCCAAAGTTCAATATATAATAACGAGTTCGTTGTTATTTCTCATTCAAATCATTTTATAAGGGTTTTAATATGATCATTCTCAGTTGAACTATTGGTTTTAATTTACAGTACGATAATTTATTCAATGTTTAATTGTATTGGAAATATAGCTATGGGAAAACTACGTTACTTCGCCATATTGCTACTCGAGCGATCAACATCCCTGCAAATATCGATGTGCTTCTTTGTGAACAAGGTGAGTGCGAATCACTTAGTTTTTCCTGAAAATATTTCTGCCGTCAGTTATATGTTTTTCTTCAGTAATGCGCACCAACTTTTTAGAGAAGATGATTTAGTGTTTAGACGTACTTAAACACATAAACATTGATACAAGGATGCACCAAATATATATGCACTACACTTTGTTATTAGATTTGTGTAAAGGTTGGGATTATTATTTATTTATTTAAACACATATATATTGGTACAAAAGGGCACCAGGTACATATGCGCCACACAAAATAATGAAAGTAGGAAGAGAAGGGATGAAAAGATAAGGCGGGCTGAAATGTACAACCAGAAGACTCTTTCAGTTAGGAAAGTTAGAACCATTCTTTATGTAGAAAGTAAAAGAAGGTTGCAGCAGGATCGCCACTGGCTTCTATTCTGAGCCATATCTGATAACGTCTCTAGCCACTGTGTTGCACTATCTCTCGGACCCCAACCAGGGAGTCCTGAAGGACCAACAGAAGCTAGCCCTTTGCAGCTCTCTTTCATGCCACGACACCATGTCATACACTGACCTTCTCTCCGCTTTTTCCAATCAGTCCCAGGGTCGGCAAATAATGCATGACGTGGAAGTCTCTGGGACGACATTCGTAAAACATGTCCAAGCCACCGAAGTCGGTGTTTCAAGATGGTGACACCAATTGAATTATCGTCTCTGCGCCCGAACACACGATGCCGAACCTCTGCATTACTAACATGGTGTTGCCACTGTATGTCAGCAATCCTTCGGAGACAACGATGATCGAACACAGAGAGATGTCTAACATCCTCAACTCGGAGAGGCCAGGTTTCACAAGCATAGAGCAAAACTGCTCTCACCGACGCGTTGTAGATCCGACCTTTTACAGCCAGACTAACATCACGAAGGCGCCAAAGATGGCCCAGATTGGCATAAGCCGCTCTGGCTTTCATTATACGTGCATCAATCTCATCACTCACGCCACCACCAGCACTTATATAGCAACCTAGATACACGAACTTCTCAACTACTTCGATCTCCTCACCATCCAGGGTGAGTACAGGATGAGAATCCTGCCAGTCTTGTAGGAGTACTTTGCACTTGGAGGGTGCAAAGCACATGCCGTACCTGCGGACACTGATTGCCAACTGATTAAGTGCAGATTGCATGCCTTAGGCATTATCGCACAGTAAGGCAATATCATCCGCATACTCAAGGTCGAGAAGTCGTTCCCCAGGCAACATATCCACACCGCCATTACTTACATCCATCAGAGCTGTTCCAGGATGTCGTCGATGGCAAAGTTGAAGAGGAATGGTGAGATTGGGCAACCCTGTCTAACCCCACTGCTCGAATGGAACAAGGGAGAAAGGTGGTTGTATGCCCTCACTCTGCCTGAGGTGTTCGTGTACAGGGCCTTTAAGATGTTAATGAACTTCTCAGGCACACCCTTCTTCAATGGACAATCCCAGAGAACAGTCCTGTCCAACGAATCGAAGGCCGCCCTGATATCAAGAAACACTACGATTGTTGGCCTGCGATAAGTATGACGGTGTTCTAACATTTGGCGGAGGGTGAAGATGTGATCAATGCATCCTCGACCAGAACGACAACCAGCCTGCTCCTCGAGAGTCAATCGTTCTCGGGTTTTAAACAACCTACGAAGAATGATAGAAGCCAATAGTTTGGAGGCAATCGGAAGTAGACTTATCCCCCGATAGTTATTGCAGGAACAACGTGAACCCTTTTTAAAGACAGGGACGACTATTGACTCATTCCAAGATGTTGGAACACTTTCTTGCTCCCAAACCTTTCCAAACAACGCAGTCAGTTCCTTAGACAGAAAGTCACCACCATCTTTAAAAAGAGCCGGAGGTAAGTCATCTGGGCCCGGTGATTTATAACGTTTCAAGAGTTGGAGTTCCTTGAGGACTTCCGCCTCGTTTGGTGGATCTCATTAGCACGCTCCGACCACCAGGCTTCCCGGTCCTTACGCAAACTTTGCCCGATTTCATTACGTAACAGCCTTCGTTTGTGGTCAAACTCACGGTCACCCGGAGTAGACCGACGGGCTTCCATCAGTTGTAAGGAGCCAGAAGAAACCCAGTGCTTGTAAGCGGGACGTTTCGCGAAGCCGCAAGCGGCTTTACTCGCCATTTTCATGGCTTCGTGAAGATGCAACCAATGCTCATCTATACTTTTTGGTGGGGTGGTAGCTAGCCTAGAGACTAGCTCCACTCGATACTCACTTGCAACAGAAGTTGCAGCCAGTTTACTAACATCAATCCGTTGGTGGTGGTCAATCCTTCGGCCACTGAAAAGTAAGGTGAGATTGGCGCAGACCAGGGCATGATCAGACTCCAGATAGGTACTCCAAAAGGAGCGGCAGTCTTGTACACAACCACGCCAGCGGTAGCTGATCGCGATGTAATCAATCTGAGTCCAGGCTTGGGATGCAGAGGGAGGACGCCAGGTGGCACACCGGCGATGACTGTGCCGGAAGTTGATGCTGGCCAGAAACAGGTTGTGGTCTGTGCACAGTTGCAGCAAACGGTCCCCGTTATCTGTCCTGCGACCAACAAGTCCCCATCGGCCACCTAGTCGACTCTCTTCTGTGCCTAGACGCCCGACCTGTGCATTCAAGTCTCCGGCTAGTACTACAATATCTGTCGAACGCGCTTTCTGGAGAAGAACTGTTAACTGATGGTAAAACTCATCCTTGATTGCATCCGGGCTGCAATCTGTCGGGGCATAGGCGGAGATGACGAAAAGACACCGTTTCTCACGCCGATTTCTTCTCACTTTGATGGAACTTTCTAATCTAACAGCACATAACCGACTGTTAATGGGGATCCAATCGATTAGTGCTGCCTCAGCTCTAGCGCTTAGTGCGACACCAACGCCAGCAAGACCAGACGAAGATGCCACAGGGTCCCCGGATAAGCGCACGTGGAACAAGCCTTTCGAGGCGACAGATGGAGAGCGGATTTGTAGTACTTCACTAGAGTCTTGAATACGGGTCTCAGATAGACAACAAACGTCAACATTAAGACCTTCCAAAGACATAGCCAGCCCTATCTGTTGTCTGATATGCATTAGTGTGCGAACGTTGAAGGAAGCCAGCTTGAACGGCGTACGTGGTTTCAGAAAGACTGCTTCAGTATTCATAATCGGTGGAAGCATTCACTTTCAACCAGACAGTGACTGGAGATCGTTTAGATAGGACAGATTTTCCACCATGGGCGAGCTGCTGCATAAGTTGAAAAGTAAGGCTACACAAATTGGGTATAAAAGGGGTTGATTTAGCGATATGGTAAACAATAATAATAATGTAAATTGTCTTGCTTATAATATGAGCAGGAATAGAATCGTCAATAGAGTTCATCATTTCATTCATTTGTGTGTGGGCTGTGATACTGCCCGGGTGCCCAAACTGAAGCAGGTGGTTTTCTTAGGGGACCACACCCCGAGCCTTTGACCTAAAGGTCTGATCCACAAGGCAGTGGAGCATCGTGAGGAGATGCAGTCCCATGGTTGCCGTTGACCAATGACAGGTTCTTCCGCCATTCGTTCCATCAGGATACTGGAGCCCATATGCACCATTGGTTTGGAATCAGGGTTTTCCAACTCCCCTAGGTGGACCCTCTGTGTCCACCAATCCGGTTATAGCGCCGGACATTCGCTTTTCGTCCTCTCACTTTCGTAAACAACACCCCCGCCACGAGAAGGCAGTGAGTAGGACTTCCCTGGTAGAGGCTATATATTCGCTGGCCATGTGAAAGCATTTCGAGAGGGAGAGTAGACTCTCCCCACTCTCGGCCGTACCAGGGCATTTGGGGGATACTGTCCGGGCGCCATACCCTGGTGTCAGATTTGAACCCTGTTTCACCTACTTTAACCTATCAGTGAGATATTATCCCACCTTCACACAAAAGTTAAAAGCAAAGTATTCCGTATCAATTTTAATGTATTAAAGTTCCATTCGACGATGAAACATCTGTCAAGTTATTATTTATAAATATTTTCATAGTGTTTTTGAAAATACTATCAGAGTTTTACGTACGAAACACAATGAGCTAACAAGATTAAAATTAGTGATGGTAAATAGCAGTTACTTAGATAGATACTTAATTCAATATTCACGAAAATATAGACATATATATAAGAAAAGTAACTCTCATAGATGTCTTTAAGGACCTTTAATAACTTTGTGGTTTGTAATAGACTGTATTGTCTTTTTCGTCTTATTATTTTATTTTGCTAGAACATATTACAGATTTTAACGTACTCATTTGTATTTAATTATAAAGAATTCAGTATGTGAAATATGGTTTCTTTGCTATTTATTTTACAGAAGTTGTAGCTGACTCAACACCCGCATTTGAAATGGTTCTCAGATCAGATAAAAGACGATTAGAATTATTAGAAGAATGTGAAAAGTTGAAATCTCTTTTAGAAACAGATCACAGTCCATCTGTAGTTGACAAGTTTAATGAGGTAAGCTAATGTAGAACAACACTGAATTGAGTTAAACAGGGAAATAATGAATTATGCTCAGTAGAAGTTTTTGTTTATATTTTCAATTCAAGATATATTTTTCAAAATTAAACTGAGATTATGAAACTATGCACTTAGTCGTCTTGCATTAAAAAAATCGTTTAAGTGAGAGATAAATTATTAGAGGAAAGTTATCATTATAACTGGTGATATTCTCCGATATATTTTATAGAGGATTGACTTAAAAAGTAATGTTAAGTATCAAACTAAGTATAGTTGAGATATGTTGATTGACTCATGATTCGGTCGATGTTTACACCATTACAAAATGTAGTTTTCTTTTGCTATCTAGATTTGTACATATTGATGACGTAATAGGGTTATTAGAAAATGCTAACAAAGTTTCAGCATCGGTAGTAAAAGGCAGTTTTCTCTAGATCTACTTGTAACGTGACTTTGGATAACCATCTGTTTTATAGACGACAAATCTAATGCACATATTTTCGCTCTGTTTTACTTTAAGATTTAGAAGCATAATCTTTGAAGTTTTAACACATGTGCAATCGTAGATATTTTTGAATCATTGGACCATCGAGTAAATGATGGTGATTTTAGACGTAGGGTACCAGGTAAAGATGGCAAGATAGTTAATAAAGCTAAGACCTATGTTACGCATACTGAACCGTCACGTTATTTCCCAAAGTATTGCTGATTGGCGTAGGAGTATATTTGAAGCAAGCTAGTAGCACCCAAACTGAGACATGATATCATTTCATGGAATCATGGACTGTCAGTCTGTCTCATCCTGGTGAGTGTAGATTTGGTTGAGCTGCTTGCTATAATTGTGACCAGTCATCAAAGACCTGAGACAACATGATTCAAACCAGTTACAGTGTTGCAAATGCATTGATTCAATACCTTTCTTTAAATCTTGAGCTTAAATATTGTTTCAGACTTCTTATTTCCTCTATTCCATTCCCTTTATACCATAAACTTCAAACAGATGCATACATTTCTTCTCCGTTTTTCTTACTCACTGATGCACTCATCTCTCTGTATTGTTTTAGCATTTACTTTATAAAAGTGAGTAGACCATGGTGGATCATACGCTATAAAAACAGTAAAAACTATTTGACAACTTAATTTGTAAAGTAATCTGATACATTATTCATAAAAACTAGTTTGATTAAGTAAGGTTATTGTTAAGTGAAATATTTTTACGCACAACAGGAAATTGCCCTACACTAAACTAACCAACTATGTATATACAATGTTTTTTCAGGACTGGATGAATTTTTTGACTAGATTTTCTTTTGTCGTATAGGTTTATGAAGAGCTTGTTGCAATTAAAGCTGATGCAGCAGAAGGCAAAGCTAGACGTATATTATCTGGTCTAGGTTTCACAAAAAATATGATGGATAGACCTACTAAAGATTTATCAGGAGGTTGGAGAATGCGTGTCAGTCTGGCTAGAGCTTTATTTTTGGAGCCGACACTCTTACTACTAGACGAACCGACAAATCATTTAGATTTGAATGCAGTTATATGGTTAGATAAGTAAGTATATTTTAAAGTAGAATATTGAAATTGTATGAGTTGATGTCATCAGTTATTAATAACATTGAACCAGTTATTTTCCGCAAATTGTTTCCGTTTAAAAACATGGACGCTACTGCTGTGTATCACTTTCACAGTATACGACTTTTTTTCTGTTTAGTTATCTTCAAAGATGGAAGAAAACTCTCCTGATTGTTTCACATGACCAGTCATTCTTAGATAATGTTTGTACAGATATCATCCATTTAGACCAACGTCAGTTATTCTACTATAGAGGCAATTATAGTAAGTTGTGTTTTTTTAAAATATATACTGGTATAAGTAAAACGATGTGAACTATCGAATTGTAGAGTCGTTGCTAACATCCTCTTATTCAATTAATGTTTGGCTTTTAAGATCAATGATAAAAAGTATAATATAACGTAAAATTCCCTGTAAATGATCTTACAGCCTAATCATCTAGACAGTTAGCTATTTCAGAAGGGGTTTTGTGGATAAGTTAGTATTTTCATTGTTGAAATTATGAGTCATTTGAAGCTAGACCACCATATAAAACCTGAAAGCACTGAGCGACTGTTTCGTCCTATGACGGTACGCCTCAGCATTCCGCATTCACGATCCCGCACTCGCGAGATTGGAACCCAGGACCTACCAGTCTTGCGCCAGAGCACTTAACCGATAACAATTTTACCATTAATTTACATATATTAATTAGTCTCAAGTCTTTACAATAAGTATATTTTGTTAATCTGATTCACTGTTTGCATGTTATTATTAAGTTAATTTATTATTTACTTTAAATAAGAAAATTTAATTTGTGCAAAACCTCATCATCATTTGTAATGCATTTTAAATTAGAGTTATCATTTATGAATGAACTTTAAAGGGAAATATTTCTCAAGTTCAAATTTTATAATTTTACATTACGAATCGACTTTAGTTAGTAAAACAATGAAAAACAGGATCGATTAAGTAGTCTTTTTTTGTTTAATATAAGACTTCTCAGTAGTGTAGATCCATAACCCTACTAGAAAACAAACCCCATGATTATAAGCCTCGCGGCAAGCGATTAACTTCAAAACTACTTAGTCGGTATTCAGTAGTTCCATTTTTATAATCGATATAAATCGCTTTTTTGGGATATTTCATTTTTAAATATCTTTATTTTTTTTCTACAATTCACTTTATTTTAGATAACTTCAAAAGTATGTTTATCCAACGTAGAAAAGAACAATTGAAAGAATATGAAAAACAAGAAAAACGTCTTAAAGAATTAAAACAATCTGGAATGAGTAATAAACAAGCTCAAGCAAAAAATCAACGTGATGTATTAACAAGAAAACAGGCGAAAAATAAGCAAACTTCCAATGAAGCTAATGATAATGGAAAACCACAATTATTATCTAAACCAAAGGAGTATGTTGTTAAGGTAAATATTTATTTATGTTAGTATTTTGATGTGCACATTATTCAATGATTACCTAATATGTCTACATTCATAGTTTACATCATACACTAATCTTAGTTAGACAAGCATTAAAAACCAAGAAACCGGCTCAGTAGTGTAAAGATTAATCGTTCACCACAAGAAGTAAAGACCTTGAGTTTGAAGCCCAATGGGGTCAGTGATATGCACTGGTGAGGAGTTTCATACTAGAAGAAAACGGGTGTTGAATGCATCCTGACTTTCAATGGTTTTTTAAGATTACTCCAGTGTGAATTATGAAATTTTGAAAATCTCCACTAACCCTATATAGTAATCCCCGTATATATGATTAAATCAACGTCTATCAACTTTGTTTGTTGTTGAATTGTTCACAAAAGTGTTGTTTAACTAGAGGTCTAATTTAATGGTTTTGATACTAATTCGGTACTTCTGTGTGGCTACCTTCAAATGCCCTGATACGGCCGAGAATGGAAAGAGTCCGCTCTCCCTCTTGAAATGCTCTCACATGGCCACACGTATACAGTCACTGTCAGGAAAGTCCTACTCACTGCCTTCTTGCAGCATTTCTGTTGTTTACGAAATTGAGAAGACGAAAAGCAAATATTCTGCTCGGCAACCGGGTTGGTGTATATACAGGATCCACCTAGAAGAGTTGAAAAACTTTAACTCCAAACCATTGGTGCACATGGGTTCCAAGACCCTGAGGGAACAAATGGCGTATGGACCCATTGTTAGTCACCGGCTACCATGGAACTGCGTCTTTTGCCTTGTAGATCAGACCTTTAGGTCAAAGGCTGCGGGTGTGGCCCCCAAAGAAAACCACCTGTTTTAGTTTGGGCACCTAGGTAGTATTCCAGCCCTTATACAAATCAAATGACGAAGTATGACGCATATATTTTTGGTATCTCCTTGTACTGATATTTATGTGTTTAAATAAAATGGAATAAATCTACGTAACTGTTATGTATTTTTATCTTATTTTAACACAATCATTTATCGTACTCTAAAATATTCAGAATTTTTTATATGTAAATAACAAACAACTCAATTATATTGCTTTAGTTTTCATTCTATTCAAATATTTATTTTAGTTCACGTTTCCAAATCCAACTCCTATTTCTCCTCCTATACTCGGTTTATACAGTGTAACTTTTGCCTATCCAAACCAAAAACCTTTGTTTAAAGAATTGAACTTTGGCATAGATATGACTTCTAGAATTTCAATTGTTGGTCCCAATGGTGTTGGAAAATCAACCTTTTTAAAACTACTTACGGGTGAAGTACAACCGGTATGTATATTACTTTCATAAATTTTAGTAAATTGCAGATGTTTAAATTTTGTATAGTTTTGTTCTGCTTTACATTGTCTGATTGCATTTCTCATTCTGTTTCATTCTTTAGACTGATGGAGAACGTCGGTTAAATCATCGTGTTAAAATTGGCAAGTATGATCAACACTCGGCAGATCAATTAAATCTTAGTGAAACACCAACTGAATATTTACAACGCCTTTTCAATCTAACTTATCAAGTAAATTTTACAATATGAAAAATGCTCAATTCTTTAAATACTGCTACTATTGATAAAAGAAATAATGTGTAATATATAGTGTAAGACTAAGCACACTAATAGTTTTAGCTGGCTTAAAGACTTCTCTGATCTTTTAGTTTTGTTTATCAGACGAGTATGGAGATCATCTAGCTTTGTGTCAGCGATTAACGACAATGAATTTATTATAGACTGGGATTTGACAAGTGAACGAAAGTTTTAGTTGGTAAAATGAATGAATAGAATCCCGTTCGATAAATGAAACTCTCTAATGCAATATGGCCAAGTGATGACTGTTCACAAGATTGAATTGTTGACTTAAGTCTCCAGTTGAACAGATTAAGGATGTTAGTCTCTAAGCTGAGCTCAGAGATCACAACACCCTTAGCCTTAGCTACACTTATTCTCTATCATTTGAACTGATATCACAAGACAAGACAGTTTTCCAGTGGAATAGGTGTCTTTTATTTGACAAATAAAATGTTTACGTACAAAATATTTAAGTGATTAAATGTGATAAGTGTTTGAAGAAATAATTTCCTTAGGTCACTTACTCTTCACTGAATTAAAACCCAACTGTTAGGTCTAATTGTTACCTGTCATCTCTCTCACGAAATGATGTGGAACTCTTTTGTGGCAACATCAATTAAAATAGAGCTCCTTCAACCTGCTTTATATTTTCTTCAGTTTTCATGAAAATCTTGTTTCTGTTTTGTTTACAGGTTAACATTTCATTTTCACCCATTCACTCTTTAAACTAAAAATTTGTGTAAACAGGTAACAACAATACGTTATAGAATGCGGATACATCTTAATGTAACTACATGTCAGGTGTACTTATCCATCATTTTATAGATTGAGAAAGTGTATTTAATAAGTAAATGAATAAAGGAAAATGCAATCTTAATAAAATTGTTTTAATTAATTTTGTAATGAAGTAGTTCATTTTGTCATCATCTCTATGAAGTTTCAGCTACAAGTATATAATATTGATTAAGTATAAATATAATAAATATTATCCGTAAGGAGTTCATTTTAATAATCACAACTACTTGAATTCGTTATTAACTTTAATATTATTTGTTTTCTAATTTTAGGATGCTCGAGCAACATTGGGTAAATTTGGTTTAGAAGCTCATGCACATACTATTCCTAATGCTGATCTGTCAGGTGGACAACGTGCTCGTGTTGCTTTTGCTGAATTATCACGTCGGGCTCCAGATATTTTAATATTAGATGAACCGACAAATAATTTAGATATTGAATCGATTGATGCATTAGCTGATGCTATCAATGAGTTTGAAGGAGGTGAGTTAATCACAAAATATATAAAGTTTTCCGTTTGTATCTTCTGTGAGTTTATAGTCCAATGGTTAATACATTCAACTTTCAGCTTTTAACTTATAGGCCTGAACCCCGTTCCATCTAATTTAGTTCAGAGAGCTGAATGGTTTGAGGGAATTACGATATCATATGGGACAGCAACACAACAGCAGGAGAAGCTAAGCTATTCCACTGCGTATCAGCCCTGGTAACTAGAGAGAGAAAACTAGATTCAGTCTGAAAATATATTTATTCCACTAGCAGCCCGGAAGAAAAAACGACAAGCACACAACTCCTGCTTATGTGTTCATTGCGAAAGTGTCCTTGAAAAAAGACACATAATACCGTACTGAAAGAGGAGATGAACCAATCACATTTGAAATCCGATTTTGGAACGAAAATGATAAATTCAAGTATCCAGAAATAAATCACAAATATGAAACGTTTACCAAATGACTTCTAGGTATCTAGCATCTCCAACATATCACTACCTCTCACATTTAAAATGTCACTTGAAGTCAAGTACACGTGGCAAATAAGTTAATAATAATAGTATGAATTTCAAATTTATAAAAAGATTATATTGAAAAACTATTATATTTCAAAGGTTCAATCTAGCTCTTTAGATTACAGTTTACTTCATGTTAGTGAACTATTTCCTGTTTTGTTAGTGTATATTTAGTCTTAGAATACAATTTGTATCACTCAATAACCAGAATTCTAGATTATAAAATTATATTCTCTAATTAATCTACTCTTAGTACTTGTTCATTAGCCATAGTAATGAGTTTTCAATAAACGGTATCTTATTACCTTTTTGTAGGGTTTACTATTTAAACCTTATTTCTATCTATACTAAATGATTTCTTTTCTAGGTGTTATTGTTGTCAGTCATGATGAACGTTTAATTCGAGATACAAATTGTATTTTATGGGTTATAGAAGATCTTGGAATTAATGAAATAGATGGTGATTTTGATGATTATCGTCGTGAAATTTTAGATTCTCTTGGTGAAGAAATATCTAATCCAAGTAAAGTGGCTGCAGTTGCTGGATGTTTATCTTAACTTTTGAAATCAATTTTTATTGTAAAAAAAAATGAGAACGTTACAATGTGAATGTTTCTAGAAACTCTTCAAATTTAGAATTGTTATTCTTTTATCTAATGAAATGTATATTTCTGCAATTATGTACAGTTCTATGTTTAGCTTGTTCAAGATGTCTTTATTTCTTCTCTGTCCTATTTTTTGGGGGGTGAGACGATATTCACTCTTTCTTCCATTTTTCTTTCATTAATAATTTCAGGTTTGTTAAGAGGTATTAGAAAAAAAAATTTCAATTATTGTTTTATTATTGTACAATTGCTTAGGTAATCTTCAACTTTATATTTCTACATGCTTGTTAGATTTTATGATCTTACTGTCTTTTGTATTCATCTATTTTTCATTTGAAATTCAGCCTGTTTGTGATTATCTCAACCAACAACAAAAAGTGATATTTCTGGGGGTTTTCTAATCTCTGACTTATTGGTTAATGTACACATTCTAAGCTTGATATGGGATATTTTGTTACGAACATAGTTGAAATATACTATCTGTTTGTTTTTTATTTTCATTTTGATTGTAAGATTTTCATGAATTAGATGTTTTGAAAACACTTATCTGAATGTTTGATATCCTAACAATATCTTTGTTAATGCGATCAGGTCAAATTATCACACTGTGTACAATGATTCAATTAGTCAGTCACAAGAAATGTAGTACTTGGCGTATATGGAAATCGGCTCAATTTACTACACCATATCATTTTATTAGTAAATCTAGAAGTAGTATAAGAAATAATTATATCATTAGTAGTAAGAAAGATTAAGCGCAGATAATTTAATCTGTAAAAAAGTGAAGTCGCAGAATAAAAAAAGTATAAGATAACTTCAAAGCTCAAGATCTAAAAAAAGAAAAAAGTGAGCGAATCTGAGACATCGATTAATGTCTCCAATTATTGGTACACTAATCTTGGTGATCCCAACCAGATAGTTTTCACCTACCACCAATACGGCTTGGTTCAACAGCTAATTACTTCATGCATTGATGTCATGTTTCCTTATAGTCACTCCTAGTTTTATGTCAACTGACCTTTATACCAGTTAACATTGATTATGGAGGTTAGTGGTACGTGAGACATGTCCCAACCACTTCATTCAAAAAATCAACACGTTTTCAACTGGTTTGTCACTTTTACTAAATACCCTATGCCTATTCTCACTACTGATTACTCGATCGTTCCACCAGGTAGGAGCAATGTTTTAAAGACAATAACCTGCTGTCTACACATATCTACTTTCATGGACCAATTTTCATAATCATAAGGTAATAAAGAACGGGCTGTTGTGAAAGATACTTGTCCTTCGGTCGACAGATGGATGTCTCACCCATACAAATGACGCAAGTTGGAGAAAGTCAGGCGAGCTTTTCAATTTTGTGCTGAGATTACATCAGATACCAACCCACTACGACTAATCAGATTTTGAAGATAGGTGAAATGGTTGGTGTCTTCAACTATTTCACTTTCTATGATCTAGGTAATGACAGACCTGTTTTGAAGTAGCATCTCACACTTAGTGGGTGAGAAACGCACCCCAGATATTGTCACCTTTTTACTCAAGATGCTCGGGAGACTGCATTCTATCAGAATTAAACAGGGCTGTGTCATCTCCCTTTCGCGAATTAATATGTAGGTCTCGTGCTAGGGCATCAGTCTCTAAAAAGTAAGACGATGAGAAAATTATCTTTAATAGAATTTCTATGGCAAAGTTAAGTAAGGATGGGAAAAGTATGCAACCCTGACGAACATCACATAAGGTTGACGGTTCACCAGAAACTTTGACTACATAATTCATATCCTTCTTACGATATATTCACCTAGTTTCCCCGTCGATCGGCGGAATCGAATGCTGCCTTTAGGTCGATATATAATATTATGGTAAAGCGTCGATACGTCTGTCTATGTTCCAGGACCTGATTAAGGGTGAGTATTTGGTCGGTACGTCCAGTTGTGAAACTGACTAGAGTTTCCTGTCCACGAGTCTATTTAAATGCTTACAAACTAAGAAACTAACTACGCTTCACTATAGTTCTTTCAAAGATAAACCGCTTTGCATGGTTTCCTTTTGATTTCAAAATGTTTGCTATCCAAATTATTTCTCCCATCCATATTTTCACATTTCTGAATTTTATCAAGATTTCGTGGTACTTAAAAGTCAATGGATCCAAATCTGTTTAGCCACCAAATTGTATATTGGAGTTTAAGGGTAAAATAACAAAATTAGAGAGCACATTATTACGCTAATTTTAAAATATCTCTTCGGGCAATAATTATTAGTCTAAATCTAACTTTCTGTATAATTGTTATGATTTATGGCCCTGCAAATATCACGTGACAAAATCGTCAATCAGAACACCGACTTATATGACCATGGCACTGTGCCAAGCCAATGGTGTGTTGACCATAACGAGTAGTCTTGAGTCAACTCTGAGTCCTTATCGGTCCTCTGTATATTGGCTTCTCGCCTAGCCTAGTCCGCTCAGTCCATAACACAAATATCAGCCTCCATTATATGAATCGCATATTTCAAAGATACGTGGTTTATATACAAGGAGATCAGATATCATAACACCATAAAATGAAAAATAACAATTATACAAGATCAAGCCAAAAGTGGTCGTGAGTTTAGAAGACTAACTAATAAATTAAGAATGGTAAGTCATACGACCACAGCCAGTAGGTCAAATGAATGCTTATGATAAAAGGATTATGAGTATACATATAATCTAGTTGCTTAATAATTATCCAATAGGAATTCGCGTAATAAAAGTCCATAAATAATAATAATTATTGACGCTTACTATTCATTTATTCTTCGTTCAGATGTAACATTAATCTTACTTCATTCGCAATATTTTTTTTCATTCAGCCGATTAGATAAGGTCAGAAGGAGACTGAAAAATTAATAAAATATACACCTTATTTTTGGATTTCTTTTAAAACCCTTAACTACTTGAGCCTTGCTAGTACATTGACTGTTGCCTAAATAGAATGTACTTTTTTAGCAGTGTGAAATGCATAATTTTTTCTTTAGTTTCTCGCTAACGTTTAAAAAATTGTAGTAAAATTAATTTCTGATGTTGTTCACTTATTCGTTATATTCTCATAGACTGTACAATTTTTAGTGTACTAAGAGATGTCTACTGTTGTATCATGTTATTTGTGAAACATGCCTATCAAATTTAGATGTTTACATAGGCTGACTGAGATTTTAAGCAAAAATGGATAGTGGCTAGCAGTGGAATCCAAGACGCGCGTTTCGTTCTATTTGGGACTCGTTAGTTTAATGTACCTGCATCTCACAGTTGATGTTCACTCTGGGAAGATTCAAACAAACAATACTAAGTGACTGAGATTTTGTTTACGAAGTTTATGCTCTACTTATTCATATTTGAGAACATTTAAATGCTGAAATATTAATTATTTGATGATTATAAACTTTAATGGTATGCAAAGATGGATAGCGACTAGCAGTAGAATCCAGGAAGCGCGTTTCGTCCTATTTACAGCGATAGTATGTTCTTTATTGAAATGTATATCAACATTTGAGATTTTATTCAATAAAATAACACTTAAGCTTTAGAAAGTTAATCACGTACGAAAATATTCATTACTTTTTCCTTTGTAGTGCCGCAATTCGTTAATCGTTTACTTCGATAACCGTTATAATTCTAATCTTAACGGCGCGTAAAATCAGAAGACAAAGGATAGCAGCAACTACAGTTTATTGTCGAATAACTCAGGTCATAAAGTTAGCAACACCTGAGCGAACGAGGCGGAAATGACATGCATGGGAGATGGCTGGGAAGCCAACTCGAGAGCCAGGCGAAAGATGATGCGTATTGGAGATGGCTGGGAAGCCAACTCGCTATGAGCAAGCATTAATCAACATTTATAGTCAGACAAAAATGAGTGACAGACATACGATGAATAAGATACGAAGTGTACGCATATATGCTCATATAAAAGTATAGTCAAGGTTAATAAGCAAATGATTAACAAGATCAAAATATGACTCATAATGGATAGGCGAATTGGCTTGGCCAGCAACTAGAATAAAGTATATGGGCTTAACATATAAACTGATACTACACCTTCATTCGATATCTTATTGCAACCGATTTGCTTAAAATTATTTAATTCAATTTTCAGGTTACATTCCAACTCAAAATATGAATTGTATATGTATTAATGATCAGATTATAGGTTCCCACTGACAATTTCAAATCATAATAGCTATAAAATTATCATCATGCTTTTAATTACAATACGTAGTTCAGTGTATCAGGTTTGTACTAATAATTTGACTTTTATCGTAAACACTTCTGAATTGTATTACTTATTTAAGATACTTCGTGTTGTAGATTAACTTGGATTTAAAAAATTGATGCAATTTTGTAAGGAGTGACTTGAACGAAACTACATCATATACAGCGATGTTATTTCATCACAGCTTCAAATGGTCTGGACTTTAGAATGTATGTGCTTAAGCTTATGTATGGTTTCTTTTGTGTATTTTAACTTGATGTCTACATGAAATTTTCGTAGTAAATTCCTTCTGAGTCAAAGGAGTTATTTTCATTGTTTTTAATTATCAATCATGGATTGTCACCTCCATGTCACTGATGCTCTTTCAATTTCTGATAACGTCACTTTGAAATATATAAGAACTTTCGTCTAAATTAGAGCCAATAGTTTCACAATATTTGAGCGCCGAGTTGATGTAAGATATTCATTCGCTGAGATTTTACAAATATATTATTCCTATTTAATGTCTATAATCATGCAGGTTAGCGCTATGTTACTTGTTGGACTGTATTAATGAATGGAGTTTACTGATTTATCTGTGGTTCGGTCTTCAGGGTATTTCATACTAACTACTGAAGCGACCATTAAAAACATCATTATTGTAGGTAATCTTACGACAAATACTATAACTCATGGGAAAAATATACAGAATTCATTTGATTACTTACAAGTAGCACAAATGATAAACATTTAATTATGAGAAGACAATTTGAGTAAGAGGTATATTCAAGACGATAAGTCATCGTTTTAGTTTAAAAGTAGACATTGAAATGAATTGATTTTCCTAAACAAAAGAATCTATTACATCATCTAATAAAATATCGAAATAAATTCTTTTAAAAAACAATGTCATACTACTCAAATGAACAATACGAAATATTCCCTAAATATTTAAACAGCATTTTCATTTGATTAATCTAAGATTTATGTTCGTTAGAAGCTCCGGAAAACATTACAGATCTTTTAAAAAACAATGTGGCAGGAATTCGTTTTGTAATATCTGATCTCAGTCTACTGGTCTATTTCTAAAACAGACTGACATATTTGTAATAATTTTTGTGATGATATTATATCATTTGATATTTTAAATGATTTGAATTGTTCTGTTTTATATAGTTTGTCTACTGATGTAATACCGGATTGATTTACTTCTTCATTACATCGGTCAATGAGATTATTCATTATTTTTGTAGATATATCATAATTATTTCGTAACTTCTCGGACTTATAAAGATGATGTGTATCTTGTATGTTCATAGGAGTATCATTTGTATATGAATTAGAAATCATTTTAACCCAATTTTTTATCCATGATTTTTCAAATGCATTCGTATTGTTAATCGATTGAGTTAGATGTTCTGAATTAGGTCGTTGTTGATCATTTTCTTTTGTTTCTTTCAAATTTTCATAATGATTATTCTTTAACTGATTCATGCAATCATGATTTGAAGATTGTTTCACTTCATCTGGACTATAGATTCCATTTAATAAAGAATTTCTTTCTTGATGTGTTAAGGATTGCCATTTTGTATGATTTGTTGAATATTGTGTATTCCATGGAGATGATGAATTCAAATTTGTTACAGGAATTAGTTTATTTGATCTTTTTATCAATGTATTTGGAGAGATTTCATCAGTTTGTGTTGCACGTTTCATTTTATAACGATGATTTTGAAACCAAATTTTAACCTATTGGTTAGAAACAAAAAAAGTATTAAATCCCTTATATCTAGTGTGTGTGTGTGTTTGTGTTATATTAAATTCCAGTAATTGAATGCTCAATTCCAAAATTTATTTAAAAACTTAACTATATATTATAGATTCATTTATAGTTGAAATCATGAATCAATTGAAGCTAGACCACCATGGAAAACCTCAAAGCACTGTTCTATTGTGGGACTTCCCAACAATACACCTCCACGACCCCGTGGTTTTTAGTGAAATTTATTCTGAATATGTGTTTTGCAATAATTAATAACGAATCAATGGATAGTGTACAGGGATTTCTAATGAGTGATTTTACAATGCCAAACTATAACAAAATACTCTATGAAGTAGAATATTATTTCAGATCTCTTTAGGATTAACTTCTTTGGTTATGTTAAGAAAGAGATTACATGCTAAGTTTTTAGAGGAAAGAAACACTATAGGACCCATTATATTAGTTAAATATCTCGTTAAATATAATAGAACAAGGAAAAATTGATCCTAATCGAATTAATTAAATATTTTATCTCCGATATATTGAAATCTTTTAGAATAATGGATACTGGCATTTGCTTCAAGAATTTATTTGTTTGAAGAATATTAATTCATTCGTATTTATTAACAAGAAATGAAGTCGAGAGAAATCATTTGGTAGTAGTATTATGGGACTCCTCAGCAGTGCGCATACACGGCCACGCCCCGCGAGATTCGAACCCAGGACCTATCAGTCTTGCGCGCGAGCGCTTAACAACTAGACTACTGAGCCGGCATCCAACAGTGTTAATGTCTAACTTCAACCGATCCACGAAGTTGAGCAACCGTTCACCATTGTCTTCAGTGAGTTGATATCTCACAACAGACCTGGTTGTCTCCACAAAAGACCCTCCTGATAATAGTCATATGTTCATTAGTGACTGACTTCAAGAGATATTTCCTGGAGTTCTAATGAGAAGCAGTGACCAGTAGAGTTGAACCAGGTCTGTTGTGAGATATCAACTCACTGAATACAATTGTTGAACGGTTGCTCAACTTCGTGGATCAGTTGAAGTTAGACATTAACACCGTTAGATGCCGGCTCAGTGGTACAGTAGTATTGGTTTGTATGTTTGAGTGGTAGATAATGTTATTATTCCACTGGATACTGATTTGTGATTCAGTCATGCTTGTATTTTAAATAGAAAAACCTTTCCTATTTATACTATATCATAAACTTGTATTGAGCAGTAGTTGTTGTGCTTAAAAATTTAATTCTACCATAGATTCATTCCTGATATGAATTTCTTATACTTTTGGTCAAATAATAAAATGATAATAAATAATTGACTGAATATCAAATTAGAATGATCAATTAACCAATTAACTACATACATTAACCTGTTGAATAACGTAAACGTTCACGTAAAAATAAGTGAAATATTGTACTTTTATATAATTTATAAATTATAAAACTTCTTACTTGTGTCGGTGTTAAATTCAATATTCTAGCTAAATGTTCTCTTTCAGAAGCTGTTAAATATCTTTGTTCGTTGAAACACTCTTCAAGTTTAGCAGTTTGTAATTTACTAAATAAGATACGACGTTTTCTACGTCGTATCACTGTGTGAAGATTTGATGACATTCTGTCATCATCATTATCATTACTGCTATTATTATTATTGTTATTACTATTAATAGTAGCAGTAGTAGTATTGATAGTATTAGTAGTGGTAGTATCACTAGTATCCCGGTTGGACTGTTGAACAATCGTATTCAATGTTTCACTTCTATTGTTTAATAATTTTTCCTCAACTCCATTATGAGTTAAGTGGTGTTGATTATAAGAATGTAATTTAATATTGTTGCTATTATTATTTATAACATTTGAGGAATGTTTTATTTCATTGTTAGATTTTAAATTAATTAAATTCGAAGGAATTGTTTGAAGACATGATTGATTATGTTCATATAAATGACAAGTATTGGTTGGATTATGATTTCTTATTAAACCTTCATTAGTTTTGATAAAATTATTGTTAATAGTTGAAGTATTACTAGTGTTAGTTGTTATTGGTGTTATGGATGTTGGTATTGATAATGACTTAGTATTTGATACATTATGACGATATGATTCTATATATTGTTTAAAAAGTTTTACTAATTCTGATGAATTCAATACAGAGCATTGATTTGACCAGAGCATATGTAATGAATCCAATAAGATTTGATTGGTGATTTCAGATTTATGATGGTCATAAAAATTATGTATTTCAGGTATTAATGTTTGTTTATAATGATGATAATTGTCCGATTGATACTGATTTGAATATAAGAATTGTTTAGAGAGATTTATGGATTGATCAGAAGTATTGAATTGATCATCATCATCAGATTTGGATAGTAGTTTATAAGTATCTAAATAAGAAATAAAAACATGAATTATACTCGTAAAAGAAAAGTGAATATATTATCTAGTTAAATAGTTAAATGTTCATAATAAATGTGAACCAAAAATGAAAATTGTATTCGACCTACAAAACTTTGGATTACTAATAAGTTGATCGATTAGAGAGATAACATAAATCTACTGCTTATCAAGTTCTTTTCAATTTCAATCATCTTCACATTCCTTTAAGATTGTATAACCGCTGATAATGATAACAGTAGTAATAAATCTCAGAAGTTGTCGCCTATATATGTAGTTGATAATACTATGTTAGTAGAAGGAATTTCGTTTAGTGGTTATTTGATATTGGTCCATTTTTTTTAAACTGATGAAATCATGCTCTTACACATTTTGGATATGAATAAATTTGATAGAAACAATAACCGAGAATATTTAACAGTAGTCGACAATTTACTGAAACTGACAGTCACCTTATGTTAACCCAGAAAGTTTGATGAATACTTGACAATGATATAAATAAAAAGTCATATGTTTACTAAGTACTATGATAAGAAAGAATAAACTGAACTGAGTAGTTTAAAGATTAACTTTAGTCTTTGATCATAACAAAATTGTCAGTAATTACTCATGTTCATTTAACTTATTACTATTTCATTTGAACTGATACAAATAAAATTTTATAATAGAAATGTACTCTGATAACCAAACTACATTCACACATTTTATAAACTTAGAGTTTTGTAATCGAAAAAAACGATAATGAATCATAGTTTTCTGGTTGTGACAGATGCGTTTGTATTAATACCGATCAATGTTAGACCACCATTGAAAACCTAAATGCATTGGACAGCTATTATATATCTAGTACGGGACTCTTCAACAGTGCACACCCATGGTCCTACATGAGGGACTCGAACCCAAAACTTTCTCAAACGCCTAATCTTAAAACCATTAAACCAACTTTATTAATGCCTACCTTCAACTAATCTACATGGGTTATTTGGTTTCATTTACAACTATCTTCTAAATTATTATTTAAAATATCATCCAATTTAAGTAGTATTGTGATTAATTACATAATGACACATTATTATCAGATTTCACTAAATAATAAAAAAGGATGATTTATTCTATAAAAAATTTAGTACTTATCTATGTTTTATAATACCATTGATTACCATCACTTTCTATCTAGTACATTCGTTTTAAGCACACAAATGAAATCATAATCATTATCTATGCGATCATTTAATTATTAATTTCCTCTTATTACCTTAATTGGATAAATGCCAAAGGCGAAAATTTTAAAAAAAGGATTTATGATTGATTACAAATCAAGTTATATGCCAATTTTAATATTCATTATATAATTTCCATTTAAAATGTTAACAATATTGAAGTGGATTTTGTTTGTTTTTTTCTCTTATCACCAATACATTACTTAATTAGTTAAGGAAATAATGAATAATAGATTGTAGTTATATACATCAAAGAGAATTTATTAAATGTTTTAAATGATAAAGTACAAAGAGAAAACCTTTTTTAAAAATACTTTTCTTTGGCAATTTATCCGTGTATTACTTAAATTTGTATGGTGTTAGACAGTTAAAACAGATCGATTGATTGATTAGTTAATTATCAGAATAGGTTTTGTGGAGATTTAGTATTTTTCATAGTTAGACATTAACACCGTTGGATGCCGGCCAGCTCAGTGGTCTAGAGGTTAAGTGCTCTAGAGCGAGACTGGTAGGTCCTGGGTTCGGAACTCGCGAGAGCGGGTTCGTGGATGCGCACTGCTGAGGAGTCCCATAATAGGACGAAACGGCCGTCCAGTGCTTCCAGGTTTTCCATGGTGGTCTAGTTTCAATTGACTCATTTCAACTATGAAAATACTAAAATCTCCACAAAACCCATTCTGAAAAATTCCTTTTTCATATTATTTTAATAATTGTCTCAAGTATAAAGTAGGTGATTCTCTATGTATAGATATGTGCACGTATTCATCTCCTACAGTAATATAACACATTTGATATCTATATAGAATACAGAAATTCTCTCTCTATGGTGCACCAAATTCATTATAATACTAGTATTTTTAAATACCTAACAAGATTCTTTTTCTTCTTGAAAATCAACCTTAACAATGCGTTAAAAAGCAAACTAAACATTGTTAAACCGCTATTATTAATAATTAATTGTTCATTGATTGAATCTTATAGTTACAACAATGTCAGTTTGTCATATAAAATAAAATCAGACAGAGAGAGTGTGTGAGGAAATATAATCAGACTCTTGGCAAACAACTAAACTAAAACTTTTCTTTCTTTAATTTTATCGTTTGTTTCTTTCCTTTGGTTAGTAAACATGTTGATTCTTTAATAAATACATGTCAATACAATCATCATCCTCATCAGCTTCTTTAATATGACCGTTGTTGTTGTTGTTTTTGTTGTTATAAAAATCATGCTGTGCTCAAAAAGGTGTTTAATTAAATTCTAAACTATTGCTCCTTTTAATCATTTTTGATAGTGATGATGATGATGATGAGTTCTTTCTCATCGTTACTTACATTTTTTTCAAGACTTCATTTATCTATAATCGTTTCAAATATGCACCGTTAGTACAATCAATGTCATACTGTGGTCATACTAACAGTAATTATAGTTGTTATCATAGTGATGATGGTGATGATTAAGATTTCAATGATAGTTATATTCAGATCTTATTCACAATTGTATTTGTTCTCTTTCCCTTGCTCGCTCGCTCTCTCTCTCTTTCTCTTTCTGTCTCAACTACATATGAATACATTTCTTTTGTATTCAATTAAATTCAGACATGATAGACAATTAAACAGTAAAATAAAAAGGATCAAGACATTTTTTATGTACTATCAATTAAAAACTGAAGTAAAGAACACAAAAAAGAAACGACAACGTAAATCTACAACCCAGTTTTACTTTTCATTCATGTTTTCTTTTTTTCTTTTTCTTTTTTTAATTAAAATAATAATTCTAGACGGTGGAATTAATTCGTGTTGAATATCCTTCAGTTTACTTTTCTTTTATAATAAAAGAATAAAGGAGATATGAAAGATGAAAAAATCGATGAATCAGTCAATCGATGAATTGTTTATTTGTTTATTTTTTTTAAAAATAAAAAAATTGTTTATAAATTATACTATCAGAAGGGGTTTTGTGGAGATTTAGTATTTCCGTAGTTCATAGTGACCAGTGAAGTTCAAACCACATCTGTTGTGAGATATCAACTCACTGAAGACAATTGGTGAACGGTTACTATAAATTATATTGTTTAAATCAGTAGGAGATATTTACAGTGATCTACATACCAATTAGATAGGTTATCACTACCGAATAGGAAAGTAAACCATATATTTTAATGAAATTAAAATTATTTTAGCTTCCAATAGGACCGAAGATAAATTCCACATTATCAAATCACCTAACTGTATCGTAGTCAGTAATTGAGGTTGTGTTTTCGTTTATTCAGTCACTCATTTAATGATGATTATAATAAGAATTTGTTGTAAATCTTTTGGAATAGTTTCTATTATAGAATAAAGTACAGGTATGATTTTGGGTATATTTTAATTTTTCTTCCATCATGACTGCTATTTACTTAACATTTCCGTAACATGATGTAATGGCATTTTCATGGTAGAAAACTTTATAGTTTTTCGCGTTAGCCGGCAAAAATGACAGAAAACGAAACACACCCTCGGTTATAGACTATGATAATGTAAGTAGTATTTCTCGCCTCATTTTTGTTGGTTGCCAGATGTAAGATCAATATTGTCAACGAGAGTGGGGTTTATACTCAGTTCGCAAATACCGCATTGATTGATACTTGCGTGTTTGCGTGTTATCAGTACTCTCAACCAAACTGGGCAATGTTAAACACAAATACTGTATAAACTAACCTTATCGTAATGTTAAATCGGTTTAGGATACTTCTTAACCTTTCTTGGTATTTTGAACAATACGGATATTCTATACATAGAATGAACATGGATGAAAATGTGGTTGAATTAAAGTCTAACGTTTTAGTAATTTGTTATTTGTGTTCTATCAGTATATACCTGCAAATGTTTTCATATCTTTTAATTTTTTAATTCATTAGATGGGAATATTCACTAAAATGTCAATGTCAGTCGATAGTTAAAACTTAGTAATCAATACTTGATCGTAAGATAATTGCTACCAGGACTAAATAGTTCAGTAAATAACATGTTGATGTTTGAAGTGTTAGGTACTAGACTCAAGTATCAGTATGAACATCAACACTAGGATGAAAGTATATACAACAGACGAGTCCTACATAAGACAAAACACTTGCTAAATTCTACTGCTAGTCACATACTGAATACACCAAAACTTGTGATATAATGCTATAATCAAGCAATTCAACTTGTACATACATATAACAACAGAGACTGATCATTTTCAATCATGGGTATCAATAACAGGAAATTACAAGCCTTTACTATTACTTGAGCATGTTCGTTGAATTAAATTTAACTTTTTTCTCTAATGAAAACTTCTCTTCACTAGTTATTTTATAATCTGCTTTATTCTTTCAAATTGTACATTTTCAAAGCATAACAATATTGGATACAAAATGTCATTTAGAATGATTATCTATTTAGTATTATAGACACTTCTCTTTCTGTCAGTTGGAGTAGTATTTTCATTTTTTTTAAAACAAAAACAAAAACAGGTAGTTGTCCACGAGCTGTCAATATTTATTTTTATTTAATCTGCTTATATAACACTGGAAGTCAATTAAAATAGCATAGTCACTATGTGTCAATCTGTTCTTTTTCATAAAAGAAACTTATCTACATCTATTCGTGTATGTATATTTATTTACAATGTCAACTAAATGCTTATGAAAATCATCTAGTCATAACAACAAAATTGCGTGATTGTCATCGCTAAGTTATATTAATAATAGATAGAAGAAGAAGAGGGTGAGGCTGAAAACAGTCAGCAATCAGATATTGATTACTTACATGCTCTAATGATTCTGTGGTTTAAGAAACAATAAGCATGACAACTAAGACACATGAATTATATAATCAAGATAAGTCAATACAGGTATTAAATTGATGGTATATGCAACAATTATTTTTTTATAAAAGTAGGCGGAGTCGATAGGCAGAATCACTGAAATAAATAAATATGAATGTATATATAAATTTCTGTTCAAAACACCCTGAAGCAAATTCATTCAAATGTTACCTTTCAACTAATATCACCTTGTTGATTGACTAAACTGATTTTTTTAAAATGGAATTTGATTTGAGAATGATCATTTTTATTTTTTGGTAATAATCTAGGCAATATTAAATATTTAGATCAAATTGATATAAGTTTGACTTTATTAACTAAATAAAGATTAATATCAGGAGTTGTTGTGGATATTATGATAATTTCAATAGTTGAGATCATGATTCAGTTGAAGCTAGGCCACTATGCCGGCTCAATGGTCAAGAGGTTAAGTGCTCACGCGCGAGACTGATGGGTCATCTGTTCGAACCTCGCGAGTGCGGGATTGTGGATGCGCACTGTTGGGGAGTACCATAATCGGACGAAACGGCCGTCCAGTGTTTCCAGGTTTTCCACGGTGGTTTAGCTTCAATTGACTCATGATCTTAACTATAAAATAATCTAATAATAAGCAAAGTTCTTATCTGATATTTTAAAAACGTTTAGGACCTTCGGTGTAAATTAAAACTCAACAGATTCCACAATCGTGTACTGATAATAATCAAATAGACACTTAATATTCCTAAATAATTCCTGAAAACATATAAGGGAACGAAGTTCACATTTAATATCCACAGATCAAAATGAAATACTGAAATCACTTAGATACTAGATGTAACAATTTATCCTCAATATAAATGATACGAGTTTTTAGTTCATTCAACTGTCTACCTAACTGTCAACATTTTTACCTTCTTCATTTAAAATGTAATTAAAAATAAAATACTCATGGCATAATTTGTATTATTGATTAAAGATCTTTTCTTAAGTAAATCAACTGATTATTTTTTTTTAATGAATTAATTATATGAGAACATAATAGTATAGATGACTTATCTTTGATTTATACCAAAGATCCATAATCAATATAGTGAAATGAAATTAAACAGTTATTTGGCAACCAATATAACTATTTCAGTGTTAATGTTAAAACTATATTAGAACTACTTAGAAAATTCTCTCTTACAAATAAACATATAATTCATTGTTAGTAACTCAATAATAGAAGATTTCAAAACAAAACTCTTTTGGTGCGATATATCCACAGTTAATTAAATGTTCCTTTATCGAACTAGGAATATTTTTTTACAGATAATGTTCCAAGATGCATTTGGAAAGTGATCGCTTTGTTTGGCCTGTGTAACGTGCCCACCCCCATAAAAAATTTGTTATTAGGTTTAATGGATAACGATAATTAAAACCACATTACATTAGGAACATTATTAATTTTTTTATTCGTTGATACATAATATGTAAATAAACATTTTCAGTAAGTTAAAGATTAATTAGAAATCAATATGAATGTTTAAATTCACTTAGTATTGTTTGTTTGAATCTTCCCATTGATGTTCATGACTTAAACTGGTCAGTCTCTTATTGGCATATGTGTATACTGTGCTTATTGCCTCGATATAGCCTTATTTCACAAGCATTGTAAGCAAAGATGGATAGTGGCTAGTAGTGGAATACAGGACGGGCGTCCTGTATTCTTAGTTACATCAATATTTCGTCTTTGATTTTTAATTAATTAAATTAATTAATTATTTTAATGAATAAAATTTTAAATTTACTTTCATAGTAATTATTCAATTATTGATTATGAAAAATATATGATACTTAATTTTGGTTTATATTATCTTGTAGATCAATAATTTATGTTCATTATCATTAATTCAAGTAGATCAATTGATTGATTGATTGATTTATTGATTATCAATTAAAATTAAAATTATTATTAAAATCTTATAATTAATCGTTTCATTTTATTAATCCAATTAAGTAAACTGAAATATCTGTTAGTTTAGATATTAATTAGGGGGAAATAAGTAGGGTTAAACAACTTCAGTGTTGATCAACAGATAAGTATATTAGAAGGGGGTTTTGTGGAGATTTTAGTAATTATATATAGTTGAAATCATGAGTCAATTAAAGCTAGACCACCATGGAACACCTGGAAGCACTGGACAACCGTTTCATCCTATCGCGGGACTCCTTAACAGTGCACATCCACTATCCCTCCTCGTGAGATTCAAACAGATAACCTATTAGTTTCGCGGGCGAACGTTTAACCTCCAGACCACTGAGCCGGCATCCAATAATGTTAATTTCTAACTTCCATGGTGGTCTAACTTCAATTGACTCATGATCTCAACTACTGAAATTACTATAATATTCACAAAAACCCCTAAGAGAATTATTAGAAAATAGCAAAGGTATCTGATATTTATTGATACTGTATATTGAAATACCATATTACTAAACAATACTAATGTAATGAATATCTATTAGGAATTGATAGATATAGATTTAGTTATTCCTTTGTCATTTACATAAAAAATTGTTTACGAAGTGAAAACTTATGTTGTACGATTCTGAATTAGTGACCCGTATTATATTGAATGAGCTGAATTTATAAGCAACATTTTTAATGTTCAAAGAATGTGATAAATCAAAAAGTTTTGACTATTCATATGTTCAATAGGTGGTTGAATGCAGAATAATAATGTGTAAGTTATTCACTAAAGATTACATTTATTCATTAAAATGTATCTATTCCTTTCTGTTATAAACAAGTTAATGTGACGCAGTACAAAATGCAGGATGAAAGATACTGGTGTAATGTATGTCATTGCTTGAAATAGAATTTTTAATGACTATCACGCGCTAATATATACCGAACTTTCAATAAATGAACGGAGAATTGGTCAAAAGTTCTGCATAAAACACACTAGCCAAACACGGACTAGGTCAGAAAAAACTCGAGCCAATTTTAAATTAATACTAAATTAACTTTTTTTTAAAAATGAAAAAAGAAGAAACTTACTATTATGAACTAATTCATCCATGTTCGTCTGTTGTGAATATTCATCATCACTATTATCATAAACAACATTGTCAGTATCATCCAAACTATTATCAAGTTGATTTTTAGATGATGATGTTTCATTATCAAATACTTTAGTATCTTCTAACAGTCGACTAACAAGAAAATGTGGACTTTTTCCATTCATATTAGAATTCATATTTAAAATAGTTTGTAATTTGAGCAAATCTTAAGTTTTGTTAAATAAATAGGTGATCACACTTAAATATATGTTGTTTAACTGATATTAGGTCAATTTAATCTTATATTGTAATATTTGAAGCGATTATTGTTTTTCTACAGTAACCCCACCCTAAACCAATTGACTCCTCTCTTACTGATTGATGATATACACTTCATATATTCAGTTGATATTTCCCCTAAACATACTTCATATTAAAAGTTATACATTTAACCAATCATTATTCATTAATATTCATTCATCCATTGAAAGGGGGTTAATATTTGCAAGAACACTAGTTTAGAATGTTAAAGAGGGTATTCAATTGTTTGAATGGGAAATTATGAAGAATAGGTTATATTTCTCACCTATTTTTGTTTTTTTATTGGTTGTTGTATAAATTCGATCATTTTCCTAGTTATTTTTTAGGAAAAAGACCGACCAATGAAATTAAAGTTCATTTAGGAGATTTGTATTGTTTTTAAATTATATTGATGAACATGGTATTCAACAAGTATCTACTATAAAGGTAGATTGAACTCAAGATTTATCATCTTCAATTTATATACTCTCTGCTATTTAGATATCAAAATTATATTTTATCTGAGAGTATAATAGTAAACTAATTAAATCTTATTAAGCAATTTGAAGAGTCAAACCAAATGATAACTGATTACTAACCTATTCATGAAGTATTAATTCTAAAGGTGAACACAGAAACACTGAGCTACAGATTAATCCAAATAATGAACTTTAAATAGAACTGAATAGATGTTTTGAGTTCTATTACGTAATACAAAAGCATAAAATGATTTCATTTCCATATATGTAACTGGTTGTTATAAGCTAAGTATCTCAGCTTACTAAATTTTTATCTGTCAGTATGAAAAGTAATAATAAGATATCTACACTGAACTGTTACCCAGAAAAAATTGAATCGATCAATAAATAAACTTTTGAAAGCAAATAGTTTAGGAACTTGTTATTATTAGTCAACTCTGTGTCTAACTTAACAAATGTTCTTTCCAAGAAGGGGTTTTATGGAGATTTTAGTAATTTTATAGAGTTGAGATCATGAGTCAATTAAAGCTAGACCACCATGGAAAACCTGGAAGCAATAAAGGGCCGTTTCGTCCTATTATGGGACTCTCCACAAAACTCCTTCTGATAATAATCAACATATGCCCACTAGCGACTGGCTCCATGAGGCATTTCCTGGAGTTCTAGTAAGAAGCAGTAACCAGTGGGGTTCAACCAGGTCTGTTGGGAGACATCAACTCACTGATGACATTGGTGAATGGTTGCTCAATTTCGTGGAAATGTTCTTTCCGTTTAGAATACGTGTATAATTATGGTTACTTTCAAAAGAAAAACACGTATTTAGCCCTGTCATATCACGTATTATAAGTGATAGCAATTTGAAATTTAGAATAGTTTTACCGTTCAAATCTGTTGTTTATCGATGAATTAATTTTTCCTTGCATAAAACCGTTTTTGATGTCTGTAAAAAATTTTCTTTCATTCGGTTAGTTATAAAAGATAAATGTAAACTCAAGCTATTTGAATAATGAGACTCATTATTATTCCTTAGAAATGTTGGAAGATATGTATTGTGTCTATATGACCAATTTATTCACATTGATGAAAATATTAATTATCAGAGGGGTTTTTTGTGATAATAATAATAATCATATGCTCATTAGTGACTTTGAGAGATAGTTCCTGGAGTTCTAGTGAGAATTAGTGACCAGTTGAGTTCAAACCACGTTTGTTGTGAGATAGAAACACTTTGAAGACAATTGGTGAGCGGTTGCTCAACTTCGTTTATTAGTTGAAGTTAGACATAAGCAACATGGGATGCCGGCTCAGTGGTCTATCGGTTAAGTGCTCTGACGCGAGACTGATAGGTCCTGGGTTCGAAGGTCGTGGATGCCCACTGCTGAATAGTCGCACAATAGGACGAAACAGCCTTCCAGTGCTTCCAGGTTTTCCATATGGTAGTCTAGCTTCAATTGATTCACGCTTTCAACTATGAAAAATATTAACTACTAACACTTATGATTCATTTTTGTAGTGGTTATTTGAATCTCTCCATTGATGTTTAGGACTACAATTGATCGGTCGCGTATTGGGATGTGTACATCCTATTGCCTCAATAGTGCCTGGGATGCAGGTACATCCAGCTGACAAATCCTAAATAGGGTAAAACGCGAGTCCTGTATTCCAGTGATAGCGACTATTTATATCTGCTTACTAATACTTATGGTTATGATAACTATGAATTTTCTCTGTTACTTCATAAAGAAAAAGAAAAAGAATTCAGTGAAGGAAATCTTCTTTTAGAAGAAATCACTTACGTCACACACTCATATTTATGGTTGTCTGATCGATTTATAAGTCTGAGAAAGATTAAAAACATTGCATCATAAAGCGATGCTAGTTTATGGCTTCTCAACAGTGCACAACCATGTACCCTACAGGTAATCAAAACAAGGACTTTCTGGTTTTTCAAAAATTATCATATATTATGAATAGTGATTTGAAATCCCATAGTCCATATTCAGTCAGTTCGCGAGTCATTGTTAATATCTTTCTCCCTTAGTTTAATCGAAAACTTCGTTGTTTGACACTTATGGAGTATATATATAAAGAGTATTCACTTATCTGATTACTTATTTTGGTAACAAGATTTTATGATTTAAAAAACCCCTTTAATGTAGGTGAGAACAAGAAAGATTTTAAATCTGTTGTATATTAAGAGAATTTACTACTTCATGACAAGATACAATCAAACATCAATTTCTTCTTTGTTTCATTCTCTTTACAAAAAATGTATATTTATAAATGGAAGTCATTAATCAATAATGACATCTTTAAATGAATCATAACGAAGATTTTAAGGGTTGAATATGTGTTCATTCGTCATTTACGTGCTTCATTTAACAATATATTACTATCTGATCTCTGTGTCAAACCGTATATACACGAAATAGATCACTACACTTAATAAATAATATCATCCTAGATTAGTTATGTAATCAAATGTAACTTTGTGTACTTTCATATTGCTATTCTAAGATGACTTTAGAAACAAATCTTATTTTAGAACATGTTTACAAATAAATCTTAAACATACTGAGAAAGCAACTCGAAGTTCACGAGTAAATGATGTCGTTGTAAGTATTTGTAAGATAAAAATTTAGGAGGGGAAAATTTCAAATACAAATAATTTAAACGATTTCTTCCTGTCGTTGTTATTATAGAATTACTGAATTCAGTATTGAATAAAAGAGAATCATTTCATGAATGAATCACTTCAATGTGAGGAAGCGGTATCACTGGAAGTCATATCTCTGCTATATAACAAGATATTATTGTAAACAGCAGCAAGTTAATGATGATCCTAACATGTAGTGAGTATTGGAATTTTAAAAATATACTACTTTAGTGAATGTTGTTGGGTGAAAATACGTAGTAATTAGTAGTATAGGAAATTAGTGAGGTTACATCGATTTGTAGGTGATATCACCGAGTGAATTCTAGTCGAAAAGCTATAAGAAACGAGGAAGTACTGCAAAGCTGTTTCATTTAAGTGTAAAATCGATTAGAGGTATGTACCGGTTATCCTACGAGAGATCGGAACCAAGACCGTATATATTTATATGTAGTATTAAGTTATTAATGTAAACATAGAATCGTACAATCTCACAACTCTGGAATACCTGTTAATAATATTCGAGGTGAATGAAACATAAATCCTTGCTCTTCCGAATCCCAGTTTTCAATTTAGCTCAACTTACTTATTTGATCTGCTTAACGTTAACATTTCGATGTAAAATTTGTCCATGGATAATCATTTAGACCTGTTCACTTTGGGATTTCCTTTAATGTATTTGATTGGATTTTCCCAATCATTGTTTTCATTTGAAATCCGTTTAGTCCGGGATTTATACAACTGTTCTGATTTGTATAGCTAAATAATACATATTGTCAAATAACTTCAGTGTCCATCTTGAACAGCTGACAGTTGTCTATCAAAGTTATCTGAATACTAAATAATCATTTCATTCACAGTACGAATTATGAAAAAGTCAACACATTACCAAACTGGTGTTTAAGATAATTAAAGAAGACAGTATATAGATATTTACACCGATAATTTTTGTGCAATATAATATTCTAGGTTAAAAAAAGTATCCATGTCTAGTCACTTATTTGGAAAGCAATTAACAATAGTGAAAATTTTTGTTTTTAAGAAGAATCAGATAAATTATTTGGTTGACCAACTAATATCGAGTAGTGTCGGTTACAATATATATTTAAACTTGACTGTTAACCAGATATGGGAGGCAAAATCCGACTCACACATCCTCGTCGTGCCTCCTGGATCATGGCAACCATCCCGTGAGTGGTAATGTGGGTGGTGAAGATCGGCCTAATCAACCACTCTACCTATACCCTCAAACGATTACGAATGCTACAAAGAGTTATTGCATAACTATTGATGGTTCAAAAGAATGGTAAAAAATGAATCTGCCCAAAAAAATAATAATCGAATGTGAGTGTTATGTAATGGTTCTGCGTAAGTAGTGCAAAAACAGCTATCCCGCCCCGGTAGTTGTGCCGTGCTTCGATGTAGCACTCTTCTCCAGAAGAGCTTACTAGGCTTCACCATTCCTATGGCTATGGTTGACCAGATATATAAATTACATACCACTTAGTGTAATTTGTTATAAATTTTGGATTTATTTTGAAGTATAATAAATCATCATTTGTTATCTTTACTATCTTACATGAATTGAGTCATTATTAATCTTTGTTCAGTTATAATAAAATAGTAAGTATGAGCCTTTTCACAATTAATAACGAGTAACCATATCAGTGTTTCATGAACGTATATCATTTATAAGTTCAATGATCTAATGAATTCATGCTAAAACAGTTTATTAGAAGGGAGTTTTGTGGAGATTTTATTAATTTTATATGGTTAAAA